ATATATATATATATATATATGGTGGAATAATCAGTAAAGAATAGAAGACTGATTAATAACAAGCAGCTATGATTGAATAAAAAAACAAAAAAAAAATGAATGCTTGAATTAGCAAAAGACAAAACGATAAAATGTGAAATTAATGATGAACAGAAGAGATAGAAATGATGGATGAATTAAAATAAAAGAAATTAATTTTTAAAATGTGAACTAACTCATTGCCATCTAAACTTCCGATTACTAATAAAATTCTAATCGAGAAATTTCATAAAAAAATAGGGTTAATTGTAATAGTAAATATAAAGTTATGAACGAAATGTGAAAGAAAGAAAGAAAAAAATTTCAACAATGAAATACAGTTTTGCTTTTTTTTCTTTCTTTTTTGAAATTTCATTATTATTGCATTTACAAAATTGCAAATGTTTTAGGTATTAATCCAAATTTCTGTTAATTTATGCATTTTGTAATCGTTTTATAATACTGTAAGGTAAAACGAAATGAAATAAATAATTTACAAAATCAAATTTTCATGAAAAAAAAAAAAGAAAAAAAAATTTTGGAATGAAGTGATATAGTTAAAGGATAAGCTCATTAAATATAATTGGCAATGAATATTGCATTTAATGGATGCTTTATTGGTAATAATAGCATAAATTGTAATTTCGAAAGGATTTCATTTAGCAAAATGATTTCATAATAAATTATATAGCATTTTTAATCCTTTATTGTCGCGTTTTAAACAAAATGGTTCATTTCAAGACAACTATTTAATTTTTGATTTCAATTTGTCACAATAATTGTGACAAATTGAACGATCCGATTGTATTGCAATATTTCATTTTTTTTTATTTTTTTTTTTTTTGATGAGAAATCATTCCATTTTTATTAATATGTGATGACATTTTGATTTCATAACTTTTACACGCACAATGATATTTCAAATTTTTAATCGATAATATTTTAATTCCATAAGTTTTAGTCTTCGAAATTTTATTTTTCATTTTTTATTTTTGTAGTATGTATAATTTACAAAAACATCACAATAAACTTTGGTTAAATTAAAATTGATTCAGATAATCGTCGAGAGAGGAAGCGAGAGAGAGAGAGAGAGAGAAAGAAGGAGGAAGAAAGAAGAGAAAATTTTGAATAATTTCAGTTTCTTTTATCCCAAAATTAATACATATACGTTTTTCAACATTCTTTTTTTTCCCTTTTACACTGTTAATTGCTATTTATGATCATATCACTTTATAAAAATGTTATCATATCATCATTTTATTTTGTATTATGTTATGATAATTTCCAGAAATTACTATTGCTTCCTAATTTAGTTTGAAAATGATCGGAATGGTATAGGAAAAGAGTGCGGATAGTTTCTAGATGATAATGAATATAAATATGATCGCTTGTTGAGGAATAATTTCTACTCGTTACAATAATTTATCATTTTTACGCCATTCATGACTAAGAAGGTTAAGAAAAAAGAAGAAGGAGGGGGCGGGTAAAAAATATGCGAAAGAATGATGGGAAGCGGGGAGGGAGGATGCGGAGGAGGAAAAGGATGCGGAAAAGCGAAATGCGGAACAGATAGAAAAGGAAATAAGAGAGAGGGAGAGAGAAAGGAAACGAGGGTGGGATGGTGTGCGTGGGAGGGTTGGGAGCGATGGGATGCGTGGGAGGAAGGAAAGCTAGGTAGAGAGATGCGGAAAGGAGGCGGAATCAGGGGTGGGATAAGCGTAGGAGGAAACGGAAGTTAGTTAGAGATATGCGTGGGAGGGGAGGCGGAGGCTCAAGCATAAATTGCGTACATTTCATCATTCGTTGCAAATTATTTACTTTTATTTCCTTCGTTGATATTTATACTTTGCCTTGCTCAGTTATTTGGTAAGAAATGTTTAATTTGAATATTTGTTAGAAATTTCGACAAATTTTTATAATTATCAAATTATATTTGCAATGATTTTACTATATCATAGTGATAAATTTACAAGTTAAAGTTTGATACTTATCAATTGATTACATTCACTTTATAAGCTATAATAATACTCGATAAATCCAATAATTATCAAATTCAAACTTTCATAATTCTTCTCAATTTCAAAAAAAAAGAAAAAAAAAGAAAAAAGGAAGCAAACAATTTGCTAAATCCGACAACATCTAATCTCGAAAATACTTTTCATTTAGCAATTTATATATAGGTAAATTCATTTGCATATCACTCTTTATCCACAGTAAATTCATTTGCATATCACTCTTTATCCACAGTAAATTCATTTGCATATCACTCTTTATCCACAGTAAATTCATTTGCATATCACTCTTT